GATGAACAAGAAGTGCCAGAGCAAGACTAAGGTAACAGGAAGGTAACAGACAGGAAGTAGGCCAGGCCAGGGTTAGAAAAGCTCAGTATCTGCCCAGATATAGTGCCTAAAGCTATTATTAATAAATATAAAGGTTTCCATGCCATTATCATTCTCCATTCGGTAGAGATCCTGATTTTGGTGGGGTCCTGGATCTCTGCACAGAGAACAGGGTTCCGTTTCTCTCGGGAGCAGCGAGAGCATTTTAGGGCAAGGCCTGCATGCTAGGCCCAGATGTGGAAAAAAATTTCCACAGCGTATTGCAGTTAGCTAGCTTTTTGAGAATGAGATCGCTGGTGGCCGTGGAAGCTCAGGTGTTCCAAAGCCTATGGCGATACCAGAGTGCTACAGCTTTTGGTTAAGCTGCTGTGCTGAGCATGGCAGAGGTGAGGGCAAAAGCCAATGGCTGGTGGGCTTGCAGCTGGGACACAGGCCTGGAGAGGCCCAGGCCCAGTGGGCCAGAGGGCAGACCCAGTGAGATGTACCCCGAAGGGGATAAATGAGGAATCTTAGACAGCCATGGTGGAAAGCTGGCGGCATCACACAGCATGCAACCAGCCAGCAGTTTATTTGAAATCACAGATCTATAAACCTTGGGCAGTGGGAGGGATTTCGAGGGTGAATGTGTTTGATTGGCTGGGGTCAGGTGGTCAGGGATACTAGATTTGCATGTAATGGTACTGTGCCTTATGTTCCATGCAGTATCATGGTCCTATCACAAGAAGGAGAACACAGTACTTAATCACCCTATGGGTGGGAGAATCTTCAAGTACAATTGAAGGCCACTACTAAAGACGAAGATCCTTAGCAGGGTGGGGCATTTCTAGGAATTCCCAGATGCTTGTTGGACCAGTTTCCTCATCAGGAAAGAGTCTGGGCCTGAAATCTGCCCTGAGGGCTATGTGATGCTCCTTACAAAATCTGGGGTCACCCAGATCAAGGGGAGGGGGCTTTTAGAACCTTGTTCAGAAAAGGGAGCTCATCATCATAGACTGAGTGAACAAATGGCTATCCAGAGATAGCCTGGCTAAACCCTTGCCAGGCCTGTGTCTTGGCTGCAAGCCAGCCAGGCATGGGCTTTCTCACCAAACCTTCAACCTAATCCAGCAAAGCCCCACAGTCATTTGGGATCTAGGGCAGGCACAGGGGAAAAAAAAGCCTCTATTTTTATATTTGGTGCCCAGCATGAGTTCTTGTATGTTATGTAAGCACTACCCCCCGCCAAAAAAAAAAAAGTCAGATGCAGCATTACAGCCCCATCCTGGGACAACACTGAAAGAAACCAGTGAAGGGAAATTTATGGGAAGCATACATTGTGTTGGGAAGAAAAAATGGTCAGATGTACAACTGTTCACTGATTCATGGACCAAGGGGTTGACTGGATAGTCAGAGACTTGGGAAGAGCATGACTGGAAAATTGGTGAAATAAGTTTGTTGAGAGATCTCACCAAATGGGTGAAGGATGTGAAGATATTTGTGTTCCAGGTAAATGCTCCTCAAAAGGTGACTGCAGCTGAGGAGGATTTCTTTCAATAATCAGTTAGACAGAATGATCCATTCTGTGGATGGTCAGCCTCTTTCCCTAGCCGTTACGTGTCATTAACCATGAAGTGGCCATGGTGGTGGAGATGGGGTTTATGCGTAGGCTCAACAACATGGACTTCCACTTACCAACACTGATCTGACTACAGACTCTGCTGGGTTCTAGATCTGTAAGGAAGATTATGCCTGGCGTGCAGGGGGTCCTTAAGGTTGTCTCTGGTGCTACAGGTCCTGTGATTAACGTCAATGGGAAAGTAAAACAGCATGATCCAGGCAGGGTGACAAAGGACATAGACCCATCAGCAATGAAGATATGGATCACTCCTCCAGGAATAGAGCTAAAACCTGTTGAGGTTCTTGCCCAGGGATGGAGGAAATACAGAATAGATAATAAAGGGGGTTATAAACACCAGCTAAGGCCAAGCGATCAGTTACAGAAGCAAGGATATTTATAGTTGACATGAATACTTCCATTGTATATTGTTAAGAATTCATTTGTACAGATATTTGTGTTTTCTTTCCTAATTTTTTTACCATGCAATGTAATATCAATTTAAGAGAATATTAATGGTTATCATACTTAAGTTTGCGATAGTAAAAGAATGTCCTTTCAGGGACTTTGCCACCTATTTTAAATTTATAATGCACTTGAGGTTGTGGTTATATCATGTTAAGCATAATTATGACCTGGTTAAATATATAATGGGGGTTATGCACTGAAAGACCCCCCTGAGGGTATCTTTCGTCTGAGAGACCCCCTCCCAAAGATCAGCGAGTCCAGGCGTTCGGATGCAAACAGCAAGAGGCTTTATTGGATACACAGGTACCCAGGTGGAAAGCCACTCAGATGACTTTACGCGCCTTACCGGGTAGAAAGCTGGGTTTTTTATAGGGTTAGAGTAGAAGCACTGATACAGAAGCGAGAAGCATAGTTACAGGGAGCTGATTGGCTCTTTCACATGAAACCATAACATGAATCAGGTTGGCAGGGACACCAGAATTCCAGGAACTGGGTGGTCATAACAATTATGACGACCTTGACTAGTGCCGCCATATGTTGCTTTTCCCAGGACTCCTATCTCAGCCGGACCACCTGTCAGATATCCCATGAGGGTGGTCAGGACAAAGTTGTTTTTGGCTCAGTTGGGGCAGCCTTGACCGCAGATATCTTGAGGGGAGTGACTTAGCTGGATTTTCTCAGAGTAATTTTTAGTTCCCATCCGGCCTTTACTATTTTTCCCAGAACTGTGGTACACCGCAAAATGGCATGGCATTAGCTATGTTTAACTCTGTTCAACTCAGGGTGATATGGGGTCTTTCATGCACAAGCTCAACAACATGGATTTCCACTGACTGAAGGTGGAATAGTTATGTTTAGGTATTATTATGACATGATTATTGTTTTCATTTGGAAATTTATCACAACAGAAGGAGAGACGATTGTGTGTCAAGTTGACAAAGGGTAGGGTTGTGGTGGCTATTCTTGGTTGTCAACTTGACTACATCTGGAATCAACTACAATGGAAATGGAGATTTCCTGCTTGGTTTGAACTGGGTCAATCCACTTCTAGTTAGGATCTCAAGGCAGAAAGACACATGCCTTTGATTTGGATCTTGAGGTAGGAAAACACACCTTTAATCTGGGCCACACCTTCTGCTGGAAGCCTGTAGAAGGAGGAAGCTTTTTTATTTTTTTTGGTTGTCGTTTCCTTGCTAGCAAGTCCATTCCTTCACTGGCATGGCATTAGAGCCTGCTTCTTCAGGATCCAGCATATGAGAAAGCCCAGCTGAAGCACCCAGCCTTGTGGGCTAAGCAACTACTGTGTTCTTGAATTTCCAGTTGACAGCCAGCCATTGTTGGATTAGCTGGACTGCAGCCTGGAAATCACCTCAATAAATTCCCTTTGCATATATAGATACATTTTAGAAGTTCTGTTACTCTAGGAAACCTGGACTAATATAGATGGTAAGTATCTAATGCCAAAACACCACATACTACGTGTCTTGGTGGAAGAACATGGAAAAGTCAGGAGTGAACTGGCCCTTCCTCCCTCCTGGCTAGCTTTCCTAGTGAGAGAAGGCACTAAGCTTACTGCTGGCTGAGAACTGTAACCAACGGTCCCACTTTGTCCAAGATCCTGAAGGCTGAAGGCTACAGTATCAACATGTCAGGCCTGATGTTCCCACTGATGAAGAAACTATTATGGATACAACTTTTTTTTTTTTTTTTCTGATTGGATTCATGGACCATTCCACAAAAGGGAATTGGTGCCTGGCTCTGTATTTTGTCAAAAGCCCAGGCTGTTATCTTTGGTCAACAATGAGCAGCAGTTACTGAAGAGACTCAGCTGGTCAAAGTGCTGTTGAATGCCCAGCCCTAAAGGGGCAGCTATATGTCCTATACCAAGCCTCGGGGAACATCCTGGAAGAGGAGCAGAAAGATGGCGGTGGAGTGCTGTAGAAAGCTATCATCACTGCTTATTATGTGGTGGGGGAAGGGGTTCCTTGCCATCAGTGGATTTATAGGCAGCTAACAGCAGCAATGAAAGGGGGAGTTCTCAAGCGCTCAAGCGCCCACTCCCCCGCTTTTGTAGGCAGTTTACAGTTGCTAGACAGGGACATGTTATTCAGTGGTATAACCATGCTCTTGCAACTGTAATTAAACTCACTGGCTCTTCAACAGAGACTTGAATGGAATTGTGCCTTTGTTCTGTTGAACAGGGGTTTGTCCCTCCCCCCGGAAAAAAGTTTATACAAGTGGAAAAGCAAGACACAGGGCAGCGTAAACAATGACGCTTCCTTTTGTGTTAAGAAATGGGGAATTGTGTCTGCGTTCACACTCACATCACCACAAAGAAACAACAGACACTCTCACTCAGTGCCTCAGGTATCAACACCTCCTACTCGGATTAGCAAGCAAGCACACGTAAGGGAAAAAGAAAACCACGAACACCCAGACACTACAGAACAAAAGCGAAGTTCCTCAGACGTGAATCCGGACCTGCACTACAGCTGGGCTGCTGGGCGTGGTGGTGCATGCACCCCGGAGGCTGAGGCATGAAGCTCCGGCGCTGGAGCACTGTCAGCGCTGCAAAATAAACCTGCCTCTACCACACAAGAGAGCCAGGTGGATGCAGGTGGAGAGGAGCGGGGAGCGGCCGGGCTCGGCGTCCCGGGCGGGCGCCGCGCAGACGCGCAGGTTCCTCGGTTCCGCCTCCGCCAATCTGGACCCTCCTCGCGTTCCGTCGGCGCGCGCGAGCCGGCGCCGAGCAGGCTGGGGCCGCGGAGGGCGGATGGCGGACTCGCAGGCCTTCTGCGTGGCCGAGGAGCGCAGCGGCCACTGCGCCGTGGTGGACGGACACTTCCTCTACGTGTGGGGGGGCTACGTGGTAAGGGGAAGGGGCGGGCGCGCCGGGGCGGCGCGGGAGCGGCGGCAGGCGGAGGACGGCCGGCGGCGTCCGGGGCGGCCCGCCCACGCAGCGCACTCCACCCGCCGCGCGCCGCCCGCGCCGCTCCCGTTCCCACCAGTCACCAAACCGGGGTTCCGGGGTGCGTGAGCCGCCCCCCTCCAGCCTCCGTGGGCTCAGGACTGGAGAGGACCCCAGGACGCTGCGCCGCGTCGTCTTGGGTCTCGTTGCCACCGTGCGACTCAAAATGCCGAAGTCACCAAGCAGTTAAATTTGTCAGCCCTAAACTCTTTAGTGGCGTTTCTTGGCTAATTAAGTACTGCCCCTGGAGCCTCAAAATAGGTTCGTATTCGCAGCGCTGCCGGCGCAGAATCTTGCGGTTGGAAATTCGTAATTACCATGGCGGTTGGAATGTGTGTTTGCTTTGGTTCTAGGGTCGTAGGGTGAGAGCCAGGGTCGTCGAGCTGGGAAGAGTAATTGAGGTGGTACCCGCCAGCCCCGTTCGTTCACAGATCACAAAGTGATTCCCACGGAAGCTCTGCCGCAAATGGAAAGATAACTTGTCTTCTGACTTCCTCGGTTGCCCCTATGTGACGGACCTGTAACACGAGTGAATCAACGAAATAAAGTGCATACATGCTGTGTGTGTTCAGAATCCTCAGGTCCGAGTGGGTTTCCATTGCTGTTCTGTGTGCTCGCTCCTGATTTAGTGCAGTATCAGAAAACAACAGAACTAGTTTTTGAGTGCCCACTCTTACCTGGCATGTCCCTGGGAGCTCTCCTACCCTCCTCAGTAGGACCTAATGGTAATATTAATAGTTTAAGAGCTATTTTATGAACATGAGTGTTTGGCCTCTGTGTGTTTCTGTGCATCTGGTATATGCTTGCTGCCCATGGAGGTCAGAAGAGGGTGTTGGGAATTTTGGCGATACCGACTGAATGCAGGTCCTCTGCAAGAGCAACTAGTGCTTTTTTACCTACTGAGCCATCACTCCTGCCCCAGGTCTCCATTTAATGAAGAAAGGCCTTGACCGTTTGATGGTCAGTGACATTAGAGAGGGGCTTCTTTCTGGAGCTTTATTTTGCTTTACTAATTAATTGAGACAGGATCGCACAGTCTGGCCTGGAATTTCTTGTGTGGCCCACGTTGTCATTGGAATCAGGACAAGCTCCCACGTGTTGAAGTCTACAGCGGCGAGCTACCACAATTAGCGCTCCCGTTTTTTTTTTTTTTTTTTTTTTTGTTTGTTTGTTTGTTTGTTTCAGACAGGGTTTCTCAGTGTAGCCTTGGCTGTTCGCCTGCCTCTGCCTCCCTGGGTGCGTGATTACAGGTATGTGCCACCGCAGCCCGCTTTTTTGTGTATGTTGTTTTGTTTTGAACAGGGTCTCAGATAACTACAAGTTGGCCTTGAACTCCTCATCCTACAGCTTCCACCTGTTGGGAATCACTAGTGGTTATCTCCTGGCCTGGCTTTAAATTAGTTGTTCGTTTGTTTTAATGGAAAAACTAGTTTTTGATGCACATACAGTTTTTAAAAGTGTTTTTTAAGCCCAGCTACTTGAAGATACGGACTTACCAGACTTTATTTGCTGTGTTTATATTGCGTTGTGTCGACAGTGGTGTAAGTTAAATGGAAAATATTAAAATAATCCTGCAAGCCAGGCTGTATGGCAGCACACCTGTGATTCACCACGTTGGGAGGCACACACCGGACAGTCAGCAGTTGGAGGGCATTCCCTGTTACATGGTGAGCTCAAGGTAGCCTGGGCTACGTGAGGCAGTGTGTGGAGAAGTAATGGTAATCTTCTAATGGCTCAACTCCATAAATGAAATATATCCGTGTAGAAGTCTCTGGGGCCTTAAAGGAAGGGCCTGGGTGTTTTAAGTCTAATTTTTCTCTTGAAAGCTGTAATGGATGAGAGCCCAGTTCTCCAGGGGCAGCTCTACAGAGTTCTATTCTGTCTACGTGTTATTCCAAAGAGCAGAGGTGGTACAAACACAACCCTGTAAAATACAACACAGATTTAAAGCCTGGCTCTACTCCTGCTTAGATCCCAGAATTCATCAGTAGTTCAATAATGTCCCCAGTATAAGTGGAAGGTGGGAAGAGAGTAGGAAGCAAAAAAGACAAGTCTTATCTCCAGAAAATGCAGGATCTTTCAACAGCTGTTTTGGGATGTCCTCCTGAGCAGGACATGGTCGTAAGGCCCTGGAAGCTGGAGGGAGTCCAGCAGTCAGAGGTTAGGAGAGTGGCTGGTGTCGTCTATTTTGTATACCAACCCGTATTCCTCGTTAATATGAACTGTGTGTAGAAATGGACAGAGCTGTGTCCTGAAAACTCAGATACCTGTCTGAAGTACTTCCTGTTTGAGCCAGTTTTAAAGAACCATGTATTTGAAACTACTCTCCAGAGGCCAGATAGTTTGGTGCTAGAATATTCTTTTGTTTCTCCATGACTTTTCTAAGTTGACATTCATGCTGGTCCCAGTGCTGCTGGTAGGGAAAATGTCAGCAATTTCCCCGGACTCCCCTCCACCAACACTCGCACACCAAACAGGCTCTCTCTGTGTGTAGCCCTGGTTGTCCTGGAACTTGCTCTGTAGACCAGGCTAGCCTTGAACTCAAAAATGATCCATCTGCCTCTGCCTCTGCCTCCCAAACAATGGGACTAAAGGTGTGTGCCACCACCGCCCAGCTTTGGTTCCCCAGATTTTGCAGGAAGAGTCATTGTCTGTTCGCAGATGGTGTATGTTCAATCTCTCAGCCAGACGGTTCTGTTTCTCTAACAGAATCAATAAGATGGATCTTTCTTCAAAATTATGTATAATTTTGATGAATAAACATGATCTAGTCTGTTATGTATGGAAGGTCAGTTTAGGAAATGTTTGCGAAGAGTGAAGGTAAGAGGGCTCTAGTCACAGAGACAGCTCTATAGTCATCGAGGGGCTCTGATCCATCAGGCAGCACTGCAGACTGGGAAAGAGATGGTAGAAGCAGTGGCACACGAGGCTATTTTTGTTTCTAAAAGATAGCATTTTGAAGCAACACAAGCAATTATACAATAAATTGTATTTTCTAGGATACTTCTAAGATAGCTGGAGAAAAATTATATCAGAGCCTTAGGACTGACAAGTTAAATATAGGAAAACTGACCTTCGCTATGAGGAAGAAAGATAGGACTATTTAAGAATCTTTGGTTGGGAAAAGAAAACCTGACTTGGAAAAAAAATCAAACTTTAAAAAAAAACAGTATTAAAAAAAAAGCACTACAGAACTTAAATGAGAAACTTAATGAGGAAATATTTGTAATGTGTGTGAGAGACTGAAGTCCTACAAAAACCAAGAGCAGTGAGTAAGCACAAGTGAGTTTCAAAGAACCAGAGGGGCTCATGTGCTGGAGTCCTTGCCTGATGCACAGGAGGTCCTGGGTCAGACTGAATAAACTGGCCATACGGTACACACTTGTGGTCCCAGGACTTAGGAGAAGGAGGCAGGAGGATCAGATGTTCAAGGTCATCCTTGGCTACATAGGGAGTTAAAAGCCAGCCTGGGCCAGAGACTGTCAAAACAAAAATGTTTTTAAGTAGAAATAACATAAAAAACAAAATTCCAGGACCTGCTGTAGAGGAGGGCAGCATGGACAGGATGATTTCTGAAGCTCAAGGTGCCTGGCCTCAGACACAGAGGGACAAGCAGCATGCCAGTGTGAGTCTGCAGACTGTTCATAGTGTGGCCTCAGCTTGCTGTCTGCATAGACCAGATCCGAGTTCTCCAATCTCCCTGATAACTTGTGACCTCCTTCATAGTCCTTTCTTAAATACTTATAAAGTGTGTGTCTTTGTTTGAGACGGTCTCCCTGCAGCTCTTGCTGTCCTGAAACTCATGTAGACCAGGCTAGCCTCTAACTCATAGAGATCAACCTGTCTCTGCCTCTGGAGTGCTAGGATTTAAGATAAGCACCATTATCCTAGCTAAGGTTTTGGGTTTTAAATTTTGAAGTATACGCACCAAGGAACACATAAAATACCACTTAGAGATAAGCACACTCACCTGCCAGATTAAGAACCAGGACCAGTAGAATTTGGTGATTCATAATAAAGATTATAAAATTGTCAACTGTGCAGTTAAAAAAAAAACAAACAAACAACAAAATCCAGGGCCAGGGAGGTTGCGCAGCAGGTCAGGGTGCTGGATGCCAAGCTTCCTGAACTGAGTTTGCTTCCTGAAACCCATGTGGTAGGAGGAGATAGTCAGCTCCCACAAGTTGTCTTCTGATCTCCATACATGTGCCTTAATATGTGCCTGCCCCTACACACACACACACACACACACACACACACACACACAGAAGAAAAATATTTAGAATTATTACTACCACTTTCAAAGTTTTTTGTCTTTCTGTCTTTTTCTTTATTCTTCTCTTCCTTCCCTCCCTCTTTCTTTCCCTCTCTCTCCCTTCCTTCTTTCTTTCTCATTTATTTTTCCTTCTTCATTCCTTCCTCATCCTTTCTCTTTCTCTCTTTCCCTCCCTCCCTCTCTTTCTCTATCTCCTTTCTTTCTCTCTCTTCTTTCTTTATTCTCCTTTCTTTCTCTCTCTCTTTCTCTTTCTTTCTTTCTTTCTTTCTCTCTCTCTCTCTCTTTTTTTCTTTTTTTTTTTTCACTTTTTTTGAGACAAGGTATCTCTATAACAGCCCTGGCTGTCATGGACTCACTTTGTAGACCAGGCTGACCTCGAAGTCACAGAGATCCACCTGCCTCTGCCTCCCTGCGTGCTTGGATTGCAGCCTTATGCCACCCCTCTTGGTTATTTATCTTTCTTTGTTAACCAGGCTCCCTTCTCTCCCACTCCCACAGATTATTGCTAACCCCTATTTTTTGGTTCCATCATGCTATTATCATGGGTAGTGGCTTAAGATAAACTGCCTTTGAATGGCAGATTTCTTCCCAGCACTTTTAGATCTATAGAATAACTTATAAAATGTACAATATGGAAAATGAAGACTTTAGAATGGATGTGGGAGGAGGAGGAGGGGGGGAGGAGAGAGAATGTAAGTGCAGGTGCTCAAGAGGTCCAGAAGAGTTTCAGGCAGCTGTGAGCTCTCTGATGTGAGCACAGGGAACTGAACTTGGGTCCTCTGGAAGAGTGTTCATACTCTCAACCACCGAGTCATCTTCCCAGCCTGTATGGTGTTTCTTTTTATTAATTCCTGTGACGCTGCTCCTCTGGTGGCTGAGGGAGTTTTACGTTTCCTTTGGACATCATTAAGCCTTGAAGCTCTTGAAGACAAATTTGACACTACGTGAATCCTGCCACTTTGTCAGCACTGATCTGGCTCTTGGGTTTACTGTTCCCACTAGAACTGTTGACTCCATTCCTTAATGTTTGTTATAAATCTTATAGGAAGTGCTTCTGAGTATTTAGGTCTATGTTCTATTATTGTTCCTGTTATTTTATTTTTATTAAATTACTTTTTCTTTTGAGTAAGGGTCTTATGTATCCCGGGCTGCCCTCACACTTGCTATGTAATCAAGGACAACCTTAAACCTTTGATCCTCCTGACTCTGTCTTTTGAGTCCTGGGATCATAGGTGTGCAATCTATGCTCATGAGGTCCGTGAGGAAAACACTATAAGCACTCCACCAGATAAGCTGCAGCCCCAGTGCCCTTCTCTTTTAAAACTATATTCTGTTTTTGTAACTGTTCTGAGCCCTTGCTGTCTACCATCTCACTGGATTATCACTACCTTGAATTTCTTCTTTATTACTTTTTAGTAGTTTTATCACGCGTGTATCTGTAAACCGTATAGTAGTTGATCTGAAAATTACAGCATACTTTCCCCTTGTGACTTACCCTTCAGTTTCAGACTTACGTATTTTTCTTCAATCAGGTTTACTTGTTCTCTTTATTTTAATTTTAAAAATGGACTTGTCAGTGTATGCGCGCAGACATTTGCTGTGTGTGGGTGCTTGCAGAGGGCATCAGATCTCCTGAGGTAGGAGTATCAGGTTGCTTTGAGCTGACCAATTGCCTGACATGCAGGCTTGGTGAACTCTGGTCCTCTGGAAGAGCATCAAGTGCTCTTACCCACGGAGCCATCTCACCAGCCCTGTTTATGTATACATTGTTTAGTCATTCAGAGTGCACTTGTATGGCTAGTCCCGTTTTCCATCCCTATTCATCAGTGCCTGTTCATTAAATATCAGCAAATATTTGTCAAGTCCCTTGTAAGTCATCCTTAGATCCATGAATGAATGTGTGTCCCATAGAGTGTTGTATAAACTGTTACTTCCTTATCTAGTCCACCCTTGTTCTTTTCCCCCTGTAACCATCAATGCAGCAATGAACATTCTTACAACATGCCTATTATACACAAGCAGGGTTTGTGCGCTCTCTAGGGCATGTACCGAAGAATGGAATGTTGGGCCACTAGGCGGGCAAATTGAATTGGAGATTTCAGACTGTTGACAAAATATTTGTATCAATTTGCATCTCCACCAGCCTCCTCATTCTTCTCAAAAGCATTTGATACCATCTGCCCTTATTTTTTTCTGCCAACACAGTGAGGGCAACATGGCATTTCATTGTAGTTTCAGTTTTCACCTCTCAGATGAATCATGTTTGACATTTTTATTTTATTTTGTGTGTGTGATGTGTGTTTGTGAGTGCGGGGACAAGTGTGCTGTGATGGATATGTTAAGGTCAGCTCTCTGGAACTGGTTCTCTCCTTCCATCTTGAGGAAGGTCCCTTTGTTTCTGCCATGCTGCATGCTGCTTCAGATTCCAGTCTAGCTGGTGCTCACATTTCTGGGCAGTTCTCCTGTCTTCACCTCCCATCTCTGGGAGGCTAAGCTGAGGTTTTCAGGCTTGTGTGGTAAGTACGTTTACCCATAGAGCCATCTTGATGGAATCCTTTCTCCTGGCCCACATGGTTCCTTCTCTATGCTAACCCATCCTGGCATTCCCCTTCCTCCTCTTTCTGTCTCAATCTTCTGTCTGATTCTCCTGTTTCCAAAATCCGGGCGCTTTAGCCACACCTACCCCGTTCCACTCTGCCCAGGTTTTACGCCTCTTAATCAACCAGTCTGGAATAATGTCTTAGGGAGGTTTACACAACAATGATAGTGCAGTAACCAGATCTTGAGGACCAGTAATTAGCATAAAAATTGACACATCAGAACAACCCCCACCATTTTCTAATTCAGTGTGTAATCTCCGTGTGCTGCGGGGGCTTTTAGTTTCTTTCTTTTTTTTTTTTTTCTTTTTTTTTTTTTTTTCCTGGTGTGAACCCTGAGTCTTTTTTCTTGAGACTTATATATTTCTCATTTTATCTTAAAAATTCATTTCAGCTTTCCTTAACCCAAGGAACTATTTGTTACTATATAATTGAAAAAATAATGAAAAATGGTAATTTTGTGTATTCTTTATTTCTAGTCTATTGAAGACAATGAGGTCTATTTGCCAAATGATGAAATTTGGACCTATGACATTGATAGCGGGCTGTGGTGAGTGATTGTGAGTTGTGAAGTGTTGTGTCTCACTCACTCACAGAGGCTTTAGTGGACCACAGGGAACTCAGGCGCATTCTGTGAACACCCTGCACCACTTAGATGCCCCTCTCCACTTCTCTGCTTCATTCCCTGGCTCTGTCCCTCCTCCCTTCTTTTCAGCATTCCGTGGCCCTCACCATTCCTAAGCCCCCTCTGTCTCTGAAGACTGTTTTACTCGGCTCATTCCCAGTCCTGGCAACTCCCATTAGGATGGAAAGTTTCTATTACAGATCTCCTTACACATTTTTTTTTAAGATTTATTATTTATTATTTATATAGCATTCTGCCTGCATGTGTGCCAGCACACCAGAAGAGGGCACCAGATCTCACTATAGATGGTTTGCCTTTGGTAGAACAGCCAGTGCCCTTAACCTCTGAGCCACCTCTCCAGGCCCGATTATCTATTTATTTGTTGCTTTTATTTTGGGGTAGGGTCGCACTTTGTAACCCACACAGGCCCCCAACTCTTCATCTTTCTGTCCCAGTCCCCCCAGCGCTGGGATTACAGGCCTGTGCCACAGCATCTGGCTACAGTTACATTTTACTTATGGTTGGAAATGATACTTTTCATGGAAAGAGTACTAAAAGGGGCTTTTATGTGTCTTCTCTGTGGTCCTCCTTGCAGGAAAATGCACCTGATGGAAGGAGAGCTCCCTACCTCCATGTCGGGCAGCTGCGGGGCTTGCATCAACGGAAGGCTGTATGTTTTTGGAGGATATGATGACAAAGGATACAGCAACCGAGTAATCCTTTTTTTAAATTCAGGAGTGTGGTCAAATGTAATCACTAATATGTCATTTCATCTCACATATTTGAAAATGTTTTAAAAAGAAGATAACTGGAATACATACTAAATTTATAGTCATTAGGCTTTAAAGTTAGATGGAGAATGCAGCAGCCATATTCTTTGTCCGTGTTCCCTTACTTCAGTTAGCCACACTCTTGATTGTTACCCACAGCCAGGAGCAGAAGGGGAAGGATGGTTGCAGTGTGTTTTAGACTTCATTTTGCTTCCGTCTTGTTGTCTTCAATTCTGTAATTCAAGTTTCCTAATGGGGGAAGTGTTTACTGGAAATAAAAGCAGTGTTAGTTTTTGGATGACAGAGCCTGTTTTCAGATGCTCTGGCTCCTAACAACACTCTCATCTTTTAAAAGCTTTACTTTGTCAATTTACGAACAAGAGATGGAACTTACATCTGGGAGAAAATCACCAAGTTTGATGGACAACCACCCACACCACGTGATAAACTTTCCTGCTGGGTGTATAAAGACAGGTAATACAGCAACTGAACTTTAATAACCAAAGCTGAGGAAATGCCGTTTTCCAGTAACTGTAGACTTGTTTTGATGTCAGTGGCAACAGCAGTCCTAAAACTGATAAAAACTCTGTCATAAAAATGAACATAGAAGAAATGCTATTTATATTTTTTACCTTGAATAATTAAAGTTTCTAGATACTAACACATTGATAGGCTAAAAATCTGAAGCCATAATAAAAAATATACAATGAGCCAGATGGTGGTGGTTCATGCCTTTAATCCCAGCACTTGAGAAGAAGAGGGAGGCAGATCTCTCAGACTTTGAGACCAGCCTAGACTACAGAGAGAATTCCAGAACAGCCAGGGCTATACAAAGAACCCTGTCTTGAAAAACCAAAACCAACCAACCAACCAACCAAAGTATACACGGAAAGGCCAGCTTCCTCTGTCCACCTTGACTTCCAGTTTGCCCCCACACAGAAAGCCCCAAAGTCCATATTTCTTTTTGTTCTTGGAGCGAGGCTCCCACATGTCTGCCGCTGCACACTTCTATAGCTCTAAGCCTCAAAAGCCCATTAAAGCAGGGCAGTGATAGGGCAACTTGTTGAAACCCCTCAATTGATTCCAACGTGCAGCAGCTCTTTGTCAGATCCAGGCATTTCCTGAGGTTGGCTCTAGGGGAATTGCTCACCTGTCCTCTCCATTGTCAGCTTCTTTTTCCCGTCATTTGATTTGACTCATTCCAGGGCTTCACAAAGCTAGGCATGCACTCTGCTACTAAACTGAACCACAAGCCCCTGTTCCAGCTGTTGATAACGACCTGAGCCTTCCCCACAGTCCCCAAAAGTCAGGGTGTGTGTTCGAGACCGTGAGGCTTCTTGCTTCTGACTCCTAATTTGCCATCCCAGCCTATGCATGATTTTGGTAACTTGCAGGTTTGTTTGTTTGTTTGATTTCACAAGTCCCCAGGTACCTAGTTTCCGCTCTCTCCTTCCCTTGCAGGAGGCATGAGGATAGCCATGGGTCTCTTTCCCCCTGCTGTGGGTTCATCTCCTGGTGGAGTTGTTCCCTTCATTTCTCATTGTTCCCTCAGTTCTTTGATTTTTTAAAAAAAACCTATAATTGTGTAGTTTATTTTTGTTTAGGTGGTTAGGGTAAGAGAAGAAATCTATTTGAAACTTCTTTTGTGTGTGGCTTTTGAGGTGGAGTCTCACTCTGGAGCTAGGCTAGAACTCATGGAGCTCAGGCTGAATCGGAAACTCGGAGACTCCTCTCTTCTCAGCCTCCTGTGTTAGTATCCTTTTAAAACTTTTATTTTCTTTTACTGGCTTTTATTATGCCTCTTTCTCCCTACTCCACCCCAATTCTTTCCAACACTCCCTACTCCACCAGGTAGAAGAAAGAAGGTTGGTGGGGAGAGGGGCGGAGTTACTCCCTGGGCTACTCCCTGCTATTGAGGGATGAAATTCCTTGGGGAAAGTCCAGTCTTTGTTTCAGGAGATCTCCAGCTTCTTGTCAAACTGCATCATCAGCAACCAGGAGCAGCAGCGGGAAGCAGCAGCAGCCTTCTTTCTCAGAGACCACATTCTCTCTGGCCTCTGGCATTTATTCCCTCTCCAGAGTCCTCAGATTTAAACTGTCTGCAGCTGGCAAAGAGCCCCTCTCAGAGCCCCTCACAAAGCAAATAGCCTGCTGCTGTGGACAGTCTGGGCCATTCCCACATCTCACACCTGGGATTAAAACAAACATGTTTACATAACATAACTGAGTTTTTAAAGACAAAAAAACCCTCCACTACACTCCTGAGTTCCAGAATGGCAGGCATGAGCCCCAGTGCTCAGCTATTTCAGCTTATCACAAAGACTGTGAACAAAGTGTGCCCTTCTCATTTGTTTTTCAGATTGATATATTTTGGTGGTTATGGGTACAGGAGGCACAGTGAGCTTCAAGACTGTTTTGATGTCCATGATGCATCTTGGGTAAGGAAGTAGTCACTTTTTAATTCAGTACTACTTTACATTTTAGGAATAATGAATCCAGTCATTCTCGTTTTAAGTGCTTCCAATTTGCCATAATTAACCCTATGGAAAAGCCTGCGTTTTGTTCTTTTATGTTTGTGTCCAGATGGAGTCGTCTCACGTCTCACTCAGTGGATTAGCCTTCACCGTCCCTTCTTAGCTGACCTCATCAGTCTCTTGCCTTCTGCTGGACAAGAGAGGCTTTAGCACAGCTTGGGAAAATGTGTTCCTGCTTGACTACTTGTCTGTTGTAGACCACAGCTCCATGTGAATGAGTCGGCCAGAGTTAGTCATAATTCAGCCTGACCTCCAGAGAGCAACAGGGGGTTGGCAGTGCTCTTCTTTTCTTGACCTACTCTTACCAGTTAGAGAATTAAAAAGTCATAAATTATAAAAAAAAAATTTTTCAAGACAGGATGTTACTCTGTAGCCCAGGATACCCTGGAACTCATTGTGTAGTCCAGGCTGGCCTTGTGTCCATGGTGCTCTGCCCACCTCTGCTTTTGAAGTGCTGGGACAGTAAGTACAATGCATTGTACCCAGCAAATAAAAATGGAGTCTTAACGAAAGATTACTCTCACTGGGAGGTGGTGGCGGCAGCCCACACCTTTAATCCCAGTGAGGCAGAGGCAGAGGCAGGAGGCTCTCTGTGAGTTTGAGATCAGGCTGGTCTACAGAGTGAGTTCCAGGACAGCCAGGGCTACACAGAGAAGCCTTGTCTCAAAACAAAACAAAACAAAACCCAGACCAAAAGATTACTGTCACTCTAGTGGGACCTAGACTACTTCAGTCTTACCTTCTAGCACAGATCGTAACTGTACATTTCATTTTATTTTATTTAAGTCTTATTCATTATTTTGTGTGTGCACTGCATGCAGGCAGGTGCCCTCAGAGTTCAGCAGAGGGTGTCAAATGCCCTGGAACTAGCACTGCAGGTGGTTGTGAGCTGGCTGACATGGGTGCTGGGAACCAAACCAGTGTCTTTTGGAAGAGCAGCAACGGCTCTTATCTGCTGACTCTTCGCTCCAGCCCTGATTGTACATTCTAATAAACATACACACAGAGAGACAGAGACAGAGGAGACAGAGACAGAAAGAGAGTTAGGCCTCTGGAAACCCAGAAAAAACGGCTGAGGTGCTATTAACATATCAGAGCCGACTCTGATGGCCAGTACCTCAGTTCCTACAGAGTCATTCTGGATGGCATACCCCAGCCCCTACTGTAACCTCTGCAGCCCAGGTCTTGGCTTCCGTTCACCGAGCCTCTTTGATCCCTCTATACTCAGCCATTTTGGCCTCTTCAATCTTTTGGCTCACTCTTGGCTTGTGGCTCTCCCCCCCCCCCCCCCCACATGGCCAAGTTCAATATGCCAGCCATGTTCACCCTGGACTCTTCCAGATGCCTCTGCCTCTGCTCACCTTCAGATCTGTAGTAAACCTCCCCAACTACAACTAGGCGCAGTCATGTCCTCATTTTTTTTTTCATTCATACACACACATTTCATGCATATAAACAAACATGGATATTTTTAAAACCTCCAATGTATTTTGTTTGTTTGTTTTCAGCTCCTAGGGTTTGAGTCCAGGGCCTTGTGGTTCTGGGAGCTATAGACTCATCCCTCAGCAATTAAAATTATTATTATTAGGATATATGTGTGTTCGCCGCTGTGGTGATGCTGAGCTAGTAGAGTGGGTGCCTGTGGCCTCCCCAGGGAATAGGTGGCACAGCCATGCTGATGCTTTAGCTACAGAGCTCTTAGCTGTTTGCTTCCGTTTCAGGAAGAGCAGATATTCTGGGGGTGGCACAATGATGTCCATGTGTTTGACACAAAGACAAGGACTTGGTCTCAACCAGAAATTAAAGTAAGTGCTACTAAGCTCCCCGGAGGCCTCTGGAGCAGAAGCCCTTCCTCTGACCCCGGCCCTCTCTCATTTCTCCAGCTTTCCCTTTCTTAAAAAACTTACTTTTTGGTTTCTGGGGCAGGGAGGGGAAGGAATTGTTATTTTTCTATTCATTGATATTATAAAAATCTCTTTTTTTCCTAAGTTCCTTCATTTTATTAATTGAATTTATAATTACTTGTAAAGTAATTCTCACTCTCTTCCTGCCCTCCTCTGTCTTTGTTGTTTTGAGAGGGCCTCTTTATGCAACTACATTGGTCTTGAACTTGCAATCTTCTGACTTCTACCTACCCAGTACGAGGATTATAGGTGTTACCACCATAACCAACTAAAGAAGCTCCCTTAAAAACTACTGACAATTGCTATTTTTTAATCAGATATCCCAGAAAAAATATTTCAAAGAGAAGTCATTATAACTTTGCTTTCGTCTCTGAGGAAGTCTTGTGTGGCTTAGGTAGACCTCACACTTGCTCTGTAGTTGAGGCTAGCCTTGAACTCATTGCCTCTACCTCCTCAGCTCTGGTATTGCCGGAATGAGCCACAGGCTCAGCCTCTGTAATCATTCTTTGCCCGTAAGTGTCTGTGTGAATTATCAGAGTTCTTTTATTTAAAAGTCCTTTTAAAACAGAATCTATCATTCTTCCTTCCTTCCTTCCTTCCTTCCTTCCTTCCTTCCTTCCTTCCTTCCTCTCTCTCTATCTCTTTCTCTTTCTCTCTCTCTCTCTCACTTATGTGGAGATCAAACCAACAGCCTCATAAGTACTAGGCTAGCACTCTATCACTGAGCTGTATCCCAAGCCCAACCTTGTGTTTTCATATGAGCTACATGTAATTCTAGCATGACAAAATACATTATCAATATTATTTTATTTACTAGAAACCAAACACAAATTCAGATTCATTTAAACAGTATATAGAAATCAAACAGAATCAACATCTTTTAAAGATTTATTTTTATTTTGTGTGTTTGAGTGTTTTGCTTGCATGTATGTACGGGCAACACGTGGGCATGTTTCTTAGGAAGGCTGGAAGAGCTCCTTGGATTCCCTCGAACTGGAGTTACAGGAGGCTGTCAGCTGACATGTGCTCCTGACCACTGAGCATCCTCCCGCCCTAGGAATCAACTTTTAAAAATGGTTTTCTCCTAGTTTAACTATTGCAGAGGGAAAGGTTAGTTCATTATTACCAGCTAGATCTCAGCACAGTTATTCAAGTGAGCCTGAAACATGAGATGAGCTTCATTCAAGATAAAGTATACAGAAGTTTGTTTTTTGTTTTTTTTTAATTCTAAGAATTTTAGAAAAAACAAAAACAAAACAAAAACATTTTCCAAAATCCAAGATGTCTAGGAAAAGATAAAGGACTTCTTTGGTTTGGCTTAAACCATCAGTGAAGTTTTTGATTTTTTTTTTTTTTTTTTTATTTGAGGACTTTTTGGAGTCATATGTAAATTCTTAGAGTCTCTGAGATGCAATAATACATCAGTGGTGAGGGGAGAGGGGAGGGTTTTTTTGTTTTTTAGATTTTTAAAATCTTTATATTTCAGGCTTATTTTATATGAACTTTTTCATTTTGTTAGGGTGGTGGGCCTTTTAAGGGCAGGGGGGTGCGCTTTCTTCCTAAGAAGCTGTTTGTAGTTATGACTGAGCATAGGATGTGGCCAGTACAGCTGTTTCAAGTCTGTCCTCTGTTCTGCTCTCTGCTTGCAGGGTGGAGTTCCACCACAGCCACGAGCCGCGCATTCATGTGCAGTTCTGGGAAATAAGGGTTATGTCTTTGGCGGACGCGTTTTGGTCAGTGTTCTCAATGGAAATTGTATTTTCATGTGTGATGTTTATAAACACTTGTCATCTGATTTTGTGTAGCATCTGAACATTCAAATAACCTAGAGATTAAGCTACACCTAGTACTAATTTGTACTTATCTCCTGTTTCCCAAAGAGAATCTACACAGGCTGTCACAGATGGTTTTTAATCATATTTTAATGAGAAGAACCCTTCACTTGAATGCAGGGTCAGCAATGGTTAATTTCTCATCATCCAAGCTCTGTTAGTTCAAACCCATCTCTTCCTTCTCGCCTGGACACACTAATCTGGGAGCTTCATGCTAATTTTCTTAATGCTTAGAATTCACTTTCAATGGTTAAGCTTTCAATGCTAAGAAGAATAGGGCAATCTGTGCTTAATCTGAACTTGTTTTAAAACTAACATTTTACTCCATAAAAGAGTTAAAACACTGTCCAATTATCGTGCTTTTATTTTAGCAAACTAGGATGAATGACTTACACTGTCTAAACTTAGATACCTGGATTTGGTCTGGAAGGTAAGTGTGAAGTCTATATACCAGTCTGTAAGAGTGTGGGGGGGGGGTCATAATCCAAGTGTGGGTTTCGAAATTGAGTTGATATTTTTCCTTTAGATTATATCTCTAAACAAGGGCTATAAAATACGAAATATAAATTTTAATTTTTTTCTTTCTGTCCTTCCTTTTTTTTTTTGAGACAGAAGCTCACCAGGTAGCCCCGGCTGGCCTTGAACTCTGGGTTGTCTTGCCTCAGCCTCCCAAGTGAAAGTACTATAGGTTCTACAGTCAGCTAAATGGAGTTTATACAAACATAGAAGACATTAAAATAGCAAGAGTTGAAAAGTATCATGAGAAAGTACTGGCTGTATAATGAGCATTCTTTGGAGACGGGTCAAACAGAGGAGATGGAGTGGCTAAAAGGAGTCATCTCACACCCCTAGATAATGAAACTGAGAAGTCAGATTTTGTCTATGGCTCATTGTATTGTTTAACAACTAAATATATTTAGGTATTAATTTGGACATCCTGTAATGTGATGGAATCGGGGCTCGCTGTCTGTCTTTCTGTCTATCTGTCTATCTATCTATATCTATCTATGTATCTATCTATCTATCTATCTATCTTTTTTGAGACAGGGTTTCTTTGTATAGCCTTGGCTATCCTAGAATCGATTTGTAAACCAGGCTGACCTCAGACTCACAGAGTTCCACCTGCCTCTGCATCCTGAGTGCTGGGATTACACGTGTGTGCCACCACACCCAGCCTATCTATATATTGTAGATATACTATAAAGTAGAAATACCATTAAAAATAAAACCATGAGGACTGGGGAAACAGGTTAACCAGGAAGTACTTGTGTAGGAAACATGAGGACACATGGGGTTTAGATCCTCGGAACCCATGTAAAAAGTGAAGTGTGTTGCCTGTGCTTCCTGTCAGTACTAGGGATGCAGAGATAGATGGAATCTTTGGGCTTTCTTGCCAGTCAGCCTAGGTGACTCAGCAAGTTCCAGGCTGGTGAGAAACCCTGTCTCAAACAAACAAATAAAACCCCAATGTAGACAGCTCCTGAGGTACAACACCTGTTACTGACCTTTGCCCCCCACACATACACACAAATAAAACTGTGAGCCAGACATGGTGGTACACCATGTAATCTCTCTTATAACTCAGGAGGCTCAGGTAGGGAGACGATGAGTTTGGGGTTAGCTTTGCTCTGTAGCAAATTTGAGACCTGTCTGGGGTATATGGCAATACCCTGTCTTAAAAGGAAGCAACTCCCCCAAATAAAAAATAGAACCATAAATGTATGAGCAGAAAGAAATAGGAAGATGTTCTTAAAACTTTGGCATTAGGGACTATGTGAATCTGAATTTGGAAAGTGAAAAAGACTGATTCATAAAACCAGCTAAACAGTAAACATTTCTCTGCAAAAAATGTACGCAAAATGTTAAAAGACAAATTGGAAACTATAAACCAAAAGTAAACTGAAAGCAATATTTGTAGCATTTTAAAAAAAAGAAAGATGAGTCAGATATAGTGGTGCACAGAGGCAGGCAGATCTCTGTGAGCTCGGGGCCTGCCTGATTTACAAAGTGAGTCCAGGACAGAGAAACCCTGTCTCAAAAAACAGAGAGAGGGAGAGGAAAGGGGAGAGAAGAGGGAAAAGGGAAGGAGGTGGGGGAGTCAAAGCAAAGGTCCACAAGAATTTAGGGTTAAAAAGACACTCTAGTGGGAAAGGACACAGATGGGCAGCTCACCCAAGGAGCAGGTGACCAGAGGCCACTGTGCTAGGCTGTGACAGCGCACTCTGTAGACAGTTTCCTGAAAGGTAGTCTATGGTGTACTTGGCACAGACAGTGGAGCAGGGAGCAGCAGCATTCAGGAGAAGGAGGCACAGGAAGGCAGACCTCTGTGAGGTCTCTGAGGACAACCTCCTACAGAGTGAAGGTGTTTTGTGGTTGTTAATGACATATAACCACAGTATTTATCGTCCTTCCCTCCCTGCTTCATTTCCCTTCCTCCTCCTCTGTATATATGTCTGTATAGTGTTCAGGCTGACCTTGAAGTCACTACGTAGTCCAGGCTAGTCATATTTCAGCCTCCTGGGTACTAGGATTACAAGTATGCACCTCCACCCCCTCGCTCAGCTTTTTCTTTAAGATCTGTGGTGAATGCATAGCACTAATGGGCCAAGGCAGGAACATCATGAGCAGAGGCCAGCCTGGCTACATGGTGAGACTGTCTTGGGAAGATAAAAAAAAAAAAAAAAAAAAATCTTTTCATTATGGTTATTTCAAAGTTGGATTTTAATTTTGTTTTCCCCTGCTACAGGATTTCTGTTAATGGAGAAAGCCCCAAACATCGGTCATGGCACACTTTAACAGCAATAGCTGATGATAAGCTTTTCCTATTTGGTGGACTAAGTGCAGATAATATTCCATTAAGTAAGTCCGTGCAGCTTAGCATACAGCCATCACCTCATTTACCCAGCACCCATGCGTTAGGCGTCTGGGGAAAGGTGTGGGAGCATGGTAGTGGCCTGCGGGGCCTCCTGGGGATGGGGAATGGCTAAAAACTGGTTTACATTTCTTCCCATTGTGTGTGGGGGGGAGACAGGAGAACTTGGGGGAGTTGGTTCTCCTTCTACCACGTGGGTCCCAGGGATCAAACTCGGGTGATCAGGCTTGGCAATGGGCAACTTCACCTGCTGAGCGGTCTTGCTGGCGCCAGGGTCTTGGATTGTTTTGTTTGTTTGATTGATTTTTTTTAATTTTTATTTTATGTGTTTAGGTGTTTTGCTGGTATGTATGTCTGTGTACCACATGCATGCAGTGTCCATGCAGGCCAGCAGAGGGTATTGGATCCCCTGGAACTCGAGTTCCTGATGGTTGTGCACGGTCTCGTGGGCACTGGGAATCAAAACTCTGCAGGAGCAGCAGCTCTTCACCACTGAGCCATCCTCTCTCCTGTCTCTTGTTTTGTTTTGTAGAGACAGGGTCTCCCTGTGTTGCCCTGGCTGACCTGGAATTCACCATGTAGACCAGGCTGGCCTCGAACTCTAAGAGAGCTGCCTACCTCTTCCTCTGGAGTACCAGCATGAAAGGCGTGCCCCACCACCCTGGCTCATTTTTTTGACTAATGGTGTTTTGTACTTATACTGAATTCAATCTTTTCTCCCTATGTCTCTAACCAGATGCTTGCCCTGTGAATTGATGTGACAGGGCAGGGGTTAAAGCTCACTGGTTGAATGTTTGCTTGGCATCTGCAAGGTCAAGGCCCAGGACAGAGGAGAGAGAAGACAGTAGAGCTTCTTTTCATTCCCACACCCCGTGATTCTGTGTCTGCATCTCTTGTCTAGAGGCTTATTGTACTGTAAGCTAGACTATGGTTGACAGTCTTCCCTCTGAGGCTGGAAAGGCAAAGGTGGAAGGCCAGTTTCTTCCTTTTGTTCAAAAATTCCAACGTGGTTGGCGGGATCCTGGAACTTGGCTAGGTGGTGTTTTGTTTGCTTTCCATGTATTTATTCATTTATGCATGTATTGATTATGTGTGTGTGGTCATGTGTGTGCCGCATTGACATGTAGAGGTCATAGGTCAACTTGTGGGAGTCAGTCATCTCCTGTCCTTTTGTGGGCTTCAGGGACAGAGCCAGGTCCTCAGGTCTGGGCAGCAGGCACTGCTATCCACTAAGCTGTGTTGCTGGCCCACAAGTCTATAACTCCTGTCTAGCGCAGTTTTTGTTTTTTGTTGTTTTTTTTTTTTTCAGCAGTAAATTGTGGCATCAGAGGAACACAAATGACCAAGAATATGTATATTTGTGTTTGACATGTTAGATTATTTTCTTAACAAAAAAAATTATCATTTCCCATTCTATTTGCTTATTTAGTGTGTGTGTGTGTGCACGTGGTGTATGTGTAACATGGGTGTGGAAACCAGAGGACAACTTTTGTGAGTCAGTTCTCTCCTCCGTCCAGGTGGATCCTGGGAAACAGGCTCCAGGCTTGGCAGCAGGTGCATTTACCCACCAAGTCATCTTGTGGGCCCTTAGCACAAAGCTTTCTGTGGGTAGCAATAGTTTTCAGGAGCTTCACTGTTAAAACTACTATAATGCCTCCAGTAGAGGTCCTGGGGACTCGGTTGGAAGGGTGTTTGCCGTGCACGTGTGAGCCCATGAATTCTGATGTGGGCGCCCACATTAAGATCTGGGTATGGGGAGGAACTTCTGTAATCCCAGCACCAAATGAGGGAGGGGAATTCCTGGAGCCCCAGGTGGTCCAGTCAGTAAACTCAGTGAGGGAAACCTGTCCTGTTGAATCTGAAAGCAGCTTCTTTTTCTTTTTTTCCACTTTGTTCTTCGAAACAGCGTTTTTTTGTTTACAGCGTTTTTTTGTTTGTTTGTTTGTTTTGTGTGTGTGTGTGTGTAGCCCTGGCTGTCTCAGAATTCAATTTGTAGACCAGGCTGACCTTGAACTCAGAACTCAGAAACTCACCTGCCTTTGACTCCCTAGTGCTAGGATTAAAGGCTTGCATAAACACGCCTGGCTTCATTTCCAATATCAGTAATCTTCTAGCCACCAAACTCCAGAGGAAGTTCTTAGTAGGATTATTAATTATTCTAGAAATGTTTCTCCAGTTTTTGAGGACTTTTTGTTGTTGGTGGTGGTGGTTTTGTTTTGTTTTGAGACAGGGTCTCACTTTGTTCAACCTGGCCGATTACATAGCCAAGCATGACTTAACTTCTGCTCCTCCTGCCTCTTTACCTTCTAAGTGTTGGGATTACAGGCATACACTAATATGCCCTGATGAGGTTTTTCATTAAATTTGGAATACAATAAGACTGACATTTGTACATTTTAATACAGATTAATATCATAACTTTATGCCATCTACTGTTTTTAATTCATACTTGCTTTTAAAAAAAATTTGTGTGTATGGAAGTTTCCTACGTTTATGTCTGTGTAACACGTGTGTGCAGTGTCCACAGAGACCAGAAGAGGGCACCAAATCCCTTAGGACAGTAGTTACAGATGGGTGTGAGTCATCGTGTGGGTGCTGGGAACAGAGCCCAGGTCCTCTGGAAGAGCAGCCAGTGCTTTTAACGGCCGAGCCATCTCTCCAGCCCCGTCATTGCTATTTTTGATCATTAGCATAAGGGTCATTGGATGCTGTAGTTCTTCCTTCCTTATAGGAAAAGATTAAGACCGAGACACTTCATTTTGTTACACAGCCACAGCATCGTGGTCATGTGGAAGGTAGTGTCCATGCTACCAAGCAGCGTGTACTGAAGTGTTTACGGAATGACGCAAGATCTAGGAGTTACAGTTCAACAAGAAGGACAACACAGAGGCAGAGCACAAGTGACAAAGTTTCTCTTTTTCTCTCTCTCCCTCCTTTTTGTTCCCCCCTCCCCTCACATCTTTTTTTTTTTTTTTCCCTTCTTCTTCTTTTTGGTGCTGAAGTTGAACCAGGGCCTCATGTGCTAAGTGTAGACATCACCAAAAGCCACAAACCTTGGTAGTTGTTACTTCTAGGAAGTGAGGCATTCTCATGTTGTACATGTTTAAAATGTTTATGAAAAATATGCAAACTCACCCAAGATGATGCAAATATAAGATGATAAACCTGGAAAAAATTAAAATTATATTCCAAAGGCTTAATCATAATATCTGAACTGTCTTAATATTTCAGGTGATGGCTGGATTCATAATATAATAACAAACTGTTGGAAACAACTTAAACATTTACCTTATACCAGGCCCAGGTAAGCCCAAAAATAAAACAATTGAGAGTTTTTACAGTATTAAAATTTAGAACAGTGCATAGTGTTTGTAAGGGAACCATAAGCAACAGAAAGTTACTTCTCAAACTAGTTTTATGTTAATTAACTAAATTAATTATTTTGATTATGTTTATTAGAAATGATTTATCTATTTTTCTCCATAGTTGTAAAATTGAAAATATTACTTTTATCTAAATATGTTTGCCTAGTAAGTATAAAAAAAGCACAAAGTAATTTAAAACCTGTCATAAGATCATTTTTAATGTTACTATTTTTAATTAAGAGATAGGAATATGGTTAGCTTTAATCATGGGTTTTTTTTTTTTAGAAGACATTTAAAGCAATTTATTGGGATATTTGCTTTTATGTTACTGTAGAGGCAGATTATTTTTTTCTTACCAACAGGGTGAACAGGGCATGATGGCCCATCCCTGTTAGCCCAGCACTGGGAAAATACAGGCAGGTAAAACCTTAAGACCATTGTTTGCTATGTAGTGAGTTCAAGAGTAGCCTGGGCTACATGCATCCTTTTCTCAAAATAAGCAGCAGTGTGATATATTCATAAATGTGAATATTTAGAAAATGCTGTTTGTTGTCTATTACAGGACCAATATTATAGAAACAATATGCTATTATTAAAGAAAATCCAAAAGTACCATAATAATTTTTCAAATTATATTGACTAGTATAATGAAAATGTCCTCATAGGAAATTCAGATAAGCAGGCCATAGGTCATCTGCAGATAGCATGCTGTCTCATGCCACGTATTTCAGAAGTGACCTTCCTCCAGATCCTTTGATTGTATAAAGTCACCGTATGATACACTTTTCTTTGTTATTTAACAAATGGCAACTGATAGCTTATTTGAGAAAAAGACCTAAATATTCTTATGTATTTGATACATAAATCTGTATATACTGTTTAGAGAACATCATAACTGCATATGCTTTTTATGTTTTTGTGTATAAATGTTATTAGAATATATTAACACATCTAGCCCTTTGAAACTTCAAGAGTTTTTATTGAGACAGCATTCAGCTTGAGCTACTGCTTATCTTTTGGCTTTATAAAGTTACTGAAGACATGCGTGTCCTCATCTGTAAGATGACAGGTTTCCTGTCATCTTTCCTGGGTTGTTTTTCTTTGCTTTTATCAATACACTAATTATAATTATGGATGTCAGTGGTAGCAAATGTTTAATTTTAAATTTTCTGACTGATATTTCAAGTCTTAATGAGTAACTTAGCAGAACAATTGTTATCAATAATGTGCTCGTTAGAACTAGAGCTATGTATCTCGCTTTCTTTTGACTGAGCTCACGTGTCCTGTCGATGCTATGCTTTATTAGAACGTTTAGGTGATAAGTGTAGAGCAGCTGTGAGAGGACATAAGCTGTCAGTCTGTAGAAAACATCAGGTTGCAAGCTAGATGCCACCAAAATCAAGGCAGGAAAGGCTTTCCAGTGTCCTTCGGAGATGAGATCCAGGTTTCCAGTTTCCCTCAGGCAGATAAGACAGAGGCAGATCTGCCCTCAGGTATGACGTGAGGAGACAGGTGGGGTAGCGTTGAGTGTAAGGAGAGCTCTCTGGGTGCGTGTGTGGTTTGAATGAAAGAGACAAGCGAAGGCGCATCTCCGTGTGTTCTGTGGCTTCCCACACCACAATGGGAAATGAGGCTGCCTGATTCTCCTCTTAGGGTGCCAGGGTTCCTCAGCCTCAGCACTTGTGACACTTTCAAGTGAACAACTTGCGGTTTCCAGGAACGCCTTGTGCGTTGTGGGATGCCTGGAAGCATCCAGCTTGAGACTGTCCTGCGGTGAAGCGCTCTCCTCTCCAGGCCTTACTCTTCGCAAACCTTTGCCTGCTCACGTGACCTTGGAGAGCGCCATTTTGTTAAAAGTGGCTGTTAGGAGTGACTATTGCCTGTAAATATGCCATAGAACGTGCAGGCTTGATGAGCCCTGAGTCCTGTCAGATCCCATCAAGTCTGCCAGCATTACCCATAATTCCCATGGCTTCTCTCCTGGAAATTAACTCAGCTCTTCCCATAAATGAGGACATTCAGGGTTTTCCGTCTCTGATTTCATGCCACATCCCTTGACACTATCTGGGTTCCTGCTGAAAATTTAGACCAGTCTACACTCCAGCAGGTGATAAGGAGAATCGGGCAGAGAGTTTACCAAATATCCTATCTCATGCTTCATCCTGGGCCGTGAGTGCATTTGTCACTGAGTGTGTGTGGAACTGAAGAAAGTGTGCAGAGTCCCACTGTTTGCACTTGTGGGGTTTAAGTAAAAGGGGTAAATGTATAAAAGTAAATATTCAATAGCAATTAAGTGTAATATATGGTTGTTTTGGGTGGCTGTTGTTTCAGTGATTTGTTCTATTAAGAGAAGCACCCTAAATCAGGATGCCATGGGGTTGAGAGCCGCGGGGGCTGCATAGTGAGCTCCAGGCCAGCCTGGTCTGAGACATAAGAAACCTGCATCCACAGAAGCCAGGTGCCTGGGAGGCAGGCACAGCAAGTCCCAGGCCAGCCTGGTCTATGTAGAAAGATTTCCCCCACCTTTTTTTTTTTTTTTTTTTTTAAAGAAAAATATAGTGCTCTCTTAAAGTCAAAGTAATGACTTTGTAAAATTCTAAGTTTACTTTATAAAATTGAGAATTTACCTTTGTATTTTTCTGAGAGCTAGAACCTATGGAAATACTGAATATAAAGCAATAAAATTGTTTTCAGTAAATAATGTGAAACTTGGAAATAGATGTGAGCTCGCTAGCAGCCCATCTCCCAGAGAACAGTAGATGCTCTGCTCCTTCATGAGATAATTAACAGAGTTATTGACTGAATGAACTGATCTTCATGTGTGTTTGCTCTCGCTAGTCAAAGGTTGTGCAGTACAGGTTGGGTGCAGAATACCATACTGGCGTTCTCTGGAAGGGAGAGTATTCAGATGCAGTTCTAGACTGCAGTGGAACGGTGTACCGTTCCAGCCACTCCTGAGAGCAGGAGCACCTAATGTGTAGCACTTGCTGACTTCCAAGGTGTAAAATCTCCCACCAAGCCTGACACCAAGTCACCAACGTGATGACACTGAGCCTGAAGCTGGAGGAAGATTCGCAAAACCAGCTTCAAATAGCCAGTGACCCAGCTCCAGCACGCCACAGTGGCCATTTCTGGCCTCACAGATGTCAGTCTTTTAGGGAGCTAGAAGACACACGTGCAATAGCAGATAGAGAGCCGATCTCCAAATGTAAGTTAGGAGAGTGTAAAGCGAGCGAGTCAATGCCAGCGGCATGAGCAGAACCAGTTTGCATGGGTGATTTGGAGCTGTTTCTGGGGGCTGAGCCTGTGAAGGAGAGAGTGATTTAACCCAGGTATAAGAAGAGGGCAAACAAAAGTCTGGAGTTTTTATACCTTAGGGTAGGTGGAGATATAGAAGGCTCATCTGGGGAAAGCCAGAAGCTAAGCTTTGTAGGGGAAAATAATTGTTCATTGTAAATATTAGGCCAGGAAAAAAACAAAAAACGAAACAGCTCTTTTAGCAGAGAGTCCTCCTGATCAGGAAGTTCCAGAGACAACAGTGGATTATGACAGTGGGAGAAGGATTGCCACATACACAGGCCTTGGGTTCAGCCCCGAGGACTGAATCAGCACAAAACCACACACTTATCTGCAGTATATTCCAAAACGTTTAGAAGAGATGAACCTGAACATTCCTGACACAGAGCTGATAAGTGTCTGAGGGACGGAAGTACTGATTACCAGCTATAACTGCTGCACACTCGGGTCCGATTATTTCACCATACCCTGTATGCGTGTGCAGGTGCTAGGTACCAGTTAAAACTTTTTGAAGTGGCTAAGATGGCAAAAAGCATTTTAAAAGTGTTATCTAATGCCTCTATGTGAATGGGGAGATGATGGATAGAAAAACAAGGGACGTATTATGGTATTCTGTACCCACATTGAAAGGTTTGAGATAGAAATATGAAAGGAATTTCATGTGCATTTGTCAGCTGGTGGGGCCCAGAGCAGGAATGGAAGGGCAAAGGTGACATGGAGGCTCCCAAAAGAGGTGGGAAAGGTGCCCATTGTACCTGAGGGGTTGATCCATTTAAATTCATTTCAGAGATAATATGTGTGAGAGAAAGGGCTTAGCAAAGCTGGGCACCGAGACAGAGATACTAGAATCATCTGTAACTGGGCCATGGTGTGGTGAACTTGAGAGAACTGGTTAAATAGATCTTCAGAGTGTGTGCTCTGGAAGTAGCTTCTGCACTCGCCCTTGATAGCCACTCACTCTGTTCATACTTTTCCATCACAGGTTATGGCACACAGCCTGTCTGGGAAAAGAAAATGAAATAATGGTATTTGGTGGGAGCAAAGATAACTTACTTTTCTTGGACACAGTAAGTAAATCTTATATTTAAGCATTTTGCCTGAGTGATCATGATATTCAAACAGCTTCTCAGCAGTATTGTTGCTATGGTAACGGCAAAGCACAGAATGACTAGAAGTGATGCCTGGAAGGACCACCCTTCCAAGTCAGAGGCTTTGTGATGTATGTAGGGCTATTTCAAGTTTACAGACCAAGATCAGTCTATTAATTTCATTAGCTAAGTTATTAAAAAGGGCTTTCTCTTTCCAGTGCTGGGGCTCGATCTAGGGCCTTGCTTTAACACACACATTGTGATAGCACTAAACCCCCAGGCTATGGCTTCATCTCCTTTTTCTTTTTCTCTCCAAGCCTTACCACAATACGAGAACTTGGAGTTTAAATGTTTTAAGATGTCTGTGTATAAAAAGAATACAAGCCAGGCAGTGATGGCACATTCCTTTAACCCTAGCACTTAGGAGGCAGAGGCAGGCAAATCTCTGTGAGTTTGAGGCCAGCCTGGTACAGAGTGATTTCCAGGACAGCCTAGGCTACACAGAGATAACAGAGAGGGAAAACAGAGAGGGAGAGAAAGAGAGAGAATACATAATCAAAGTAATAATCACCCAGATAATTAATTAAAATTATCTTTATTATTGTTGTTTTGACACAGGGTCTAACTATGTAGCTCTGGCTGTCCTGTAACTCACTATATAGACCAGGCTGGCCTTAAACTCACAGAGATCTATACATCCATGGAGTTTATTAATGGACATAGCTATGTTAAAGTTTTTTGTTGTTTTGTTTTTTATAAAATTGTGTTTGTTTCTCTCTTAGCCTGGCTATTACCCAAATAATCGAGACTTTTATCTTAATTTAACAAGCTTCACAACACAGCAACTGAGCTGTTATTACTCATTCCTAACCTTCTAAGCTAACCTGGCTTCCTCCTAGCACACATCCCAGACATACTTGCACTTGGTGGCTTTCCTGCTCCAGCTCTTCTCTGCTGATGTCTCCTGGCCCTCTGCCTGTGGCTGACTCCCCTAATTCCTCTTCTAACTCCTCCTCTAACTCCTCCTCTGGTTGGCAGAAAGTCTAGCCCTATTCTCTCCCCTGCTCAGCGATTGGCTATAAGCTGCTTTATTGGCATATCAGGGGATTGTTGTAGAGCAGTGTTTACACAACACTGGAGAACGAGGATTCTCAGAACAAGGACTGCAACCAGATATTGGGGTATAGAAATCAGCATGTGAATTACACAACAACCGTATGCCTACATGGCTAATCCTTCTAACTCTCACTGGCTGACTTCTCTGTAGAAGTCTAGTTCTTTTTGTTTTGTGGGGTTTTGCTTCTGCTTTCCATCTGTTCTACATTTGAGTTTTCAATGTTGCAGCTTTAACATGGCATAAAGTCAAAGGAATAAACAGGTCACATGAGGAGAGCCTTGCTACTCTGCTCACCGGCCCACAGGAAGTGTAGAGCAGCGGGGCACTCTCACCCGTGGTACTTGGCAGACAAGCACTGAAGGGGCCAATTTGCCTAGGCTGCTGAAGTGTATCAAGACCCTGAGTGAACAGGGATGGGGCACAACTAGCCAGAGTCCCACCAAAAGGGCAGTAGCTCCTTTTCTTGTCCTTAGGCACAGATTGCTTCTACAGAGTGACAAACCTTAAAGAGAGATGGCTTCTCGGCAGGGACTTTGGTTGGTTTTGTAGTCTGTGGCCACCAGCTCAAACATGTACAATGAAGGCTCCAGAGCAGTCTTCAGCCTAGGGTACAGTGCTCTGCTAAAGCACTGGAGCCAAGGACTCTTTTTAAAGGCCATCTGTACAAGGCCCTGGCTTCAAGTCCCATCACTGCTCCTCCCCCAGTGGAACAGTTGTGGTTTATCTTATTTTTCTTGGCACTAAAAGTCCTTATTTAGGAAGTAGGCATGTTGATACATTCTTATGCCCCAGCAGTTGCTCAGGACATTCAGGCAGGAGAATTGAAGGTTCAAAGCCAGCCTGTGCTACATAAAAAGAACCTATCTTAAAAACAAACAAACAACAACAACAGCAACAAAAAACCAAACTGACGGGGCAGTGGTGGCCTATACCTTTAATCCCAGTGTTCTAAAGGTGGAGGCGGGCAGATCTCTGAGTCAGAGGCCAGCCTGGTCTACAGAATGAGATCTGTAAAAGTATCTTTTATTTGCCTGATGTAACTGTTATCTCTGAGGCTTATTGTCTCTGCTAACCTAGGCCCAGTCCCGGAAGCTTCTAGATTCCATACAGTATACCTAGGCCTAGAATGTTTTTAGCCTCTGAGACTTGCTGCTGAATAAGCCTACCCTTCCTAGTTTTTTCTGAAGTCTGGGTGGCTGGTTCACCTCAGCTGTTCTGGCCCAAACTCCTCTCCAAGCTGACTGATTCTGAAAGAGCCCCGGAGGGTATCTTCCGTCAGAGAGACCCCCTCCCAAGGAACAACGAGGCGAGGCCATTTGGATGCAAACAGCAAGAGGCTTTTATTTTGATACACGAGTACTCGGGCGGAAAGTCACTCGGAGAACTTTGCGCGCTCCCTAGGTAGGAAGCTGGGGTTTTTATAGGGTTTTAGAGCAGAAGCACTGGTACAGAAGCGAGAAGCATGGTTACAGGGGGCTGATTGGAACGTTTACATGAAACCGCAGTTTGCGTCAAAGTTTGGCAGGGACGCCAGGATCCCAGGAACTGGGTGGTCAAAAGGGTCGTGATGTCCCCGTACGGACCACCTGTTATTTTGTTTTTCCCTATCTCAGCTGGAACAATCTCTGACAGATATCCCATGAGGGTAGTCACAACAAGTTGTTTTTAACTCAACAGGGGCGGGCAGCCTGACCACAGATATCCCAAGTGGGTGACACAGCTAGGATTTCTCAGTAATTTTCCAGTTTCTCATCTGGCCTTCAGAGTTTTACAAAACAGTGGTGTCTCACAAAATGGCGTTAGCTATGTTTAACTTAGGGTGAGGCAGGGGTCTTTCAATTCAATCTGGCTTCTCTCAGTTTCTCACTGAATTGCTCTGCTTGGCCTCAAACCAACTCTAGCAATCTGCTCTAATCTTCTGGCTCCTTCTCATTCTGTGGCTCATTCTGTCTTCACCTGTGTGTAGCTTGTTCTCTTTTCAACCTGTCTCTGTACAGCTGTCCTAGTAAAACTGCCTCTGAATTCCACAAACTGATCTGCCACAAACCCAACTCCATTTCACTGCCTCTCAACTCCCTCTCAACTGAACTGACTGAGCAGCACTGACTGGAACTCAGAGATCTGCATGACTCTGTCTCCTAGGTGCTGGGATTAAAGGCCTTTACCACCACACCTAAGCTTTTCTTCACCTGAAATTTGCTCTATGCCAGGCTGGCCTCAAACTCTGAGATATGCTTGCCTCTGGATTAAAGACATGTCTGTATTCCAGCCAGCACACAGACCTAGGTCTTTGGATCTCTTGCCAAAGCAGCTATGTTCTGAATTAAAATTCCTCTACAAAGTTCTAGGACAGCCAAGGGCAGCATAGAGAAACCTTGTTTCAAAAAAAAAAAAAAAAAAGGTGGAAGAAAGATAAAATTAAAAATTGAACCATGAACAAACAACCCTCTACTTAGAATACAAAATTTATCATTAAAATAATAGTCCTGAACAGTCATGATAGCAAACACCTGTAATTTTTGAACTCAGAAGACCGAGTCAGGTGGATTGCTGTAAGTCTGAGACCAGCCTAAACTACATGGTATTATGGTATTAGTGCAGCCAGGGCTTTATAGCAAGACTCTGCCTTAAATATTATACAAAACCAGGGGCTGAAGTGATGGCTCTGCACTTACAAGCACATATTCCTGTTCCAGAGGACCCAAGTTCAGTTCCCAGCACCCACATCAGGCAGCTCGCAACCACCTGTAACTTAAGAGGCCCCGACATCTCTGCCCTCTAGGCACAGACATATACACAGAATTAAAAATAATAAAAATAAATCCTAAAAAAATATGTAATTAAGAAAATACATATATAAAACAAAGTAAGAGTTCTTATTAAATTAAATTATCATCATGATTGTGAAATTATAAAGACCTATTGAAAGGATTAGGGAATTCCTACCATATTCATATATATATATATATGTTTTTTTATTTTTGAAAACTATTAGAGTTTAAAAGAAGCCCCCCAGAACAGGCAAGCCATCAACCCTGGAGCTGCCTGGAGGAAAATGGAGAAAATGGAGCAGCCTAGAGGTCAGACACGTGTTGGCAGACAGTCACAACAGGCAGGGAGCAGAGCTCAAAGAATGAGAAGCCCACAGCCACCAGAGACTTTAGGAGCATGAAGGCCCTGGCCAGCATCCAAGAGAGAAGAAAAGGGAATAGTTCCTCTCTGAGTCAGGGCTCAGAACCCAGGGGCAGGCCCAACCTATTGGCAGCTCATAGAGACTGCCATGTTAATTTTATGAGTGATGCATTAATCAAAGAAAACTAAACCTTGATATTCAAATGAGGAATCTGTAGGACTGAGGTAGAGTACTTGTTCAGTATGTATAAGACTGAATTTGATCATATAACAGCAAAAACAACACATATTTTAAATATGCCTGGCATGGTAACACATGCCTTTAATCCTAGCACTCAGGAGGCAGAAGCAGGCAAGAGTTTGAGGCCAGCCTGGTCTATAGAGCTAGTTCTAGAACAGCCAGGGCTAAACAGAATAATCATGTCTGAAATAAAAAATAAAATACATAAAATAATATTTTAAATACAAAGGAAGACTTCACAGGGAAGCCAGGTGTGGTTGCTCATTATACAATTACAATACTCAGGAGGCTGAGGCAGAAGGATTATCACAAATTCAAAACTTGCCTGGCTACATAGTATGTTCCAGGCAAGCCTGGGCTACATAGTGAAACCTTGTTTCAAAACAGTGAGACAGCATCAACAGGGAGGAGATGGTGCTCAGTGGGGGGCTGCTGGCCTATCAGGGAGGCCTTGCCAGACAGAGAACCACCTGGAGGCAGGGCATGGAACCTTTAACATAAGAGTAATTTGGAGGAAATACTTCTGTTTTAAGAAACAAATATTAGCTGGGCTGCATTGATGTATGCCTTTAATCCCAGAACTTGGGAGCCAGAGCAGGTGGATCTCTGTGAGTTCAAGACCAGCTTGGTCTAAAGCGTGAGTTCCAGGACGGCAGCCAGGGCTACACAAAGAAACCCTGTCTTGAAACAACCACCCCCCAAAAGAAACAAATATTAACTACTTCTGTTACTTACTATTCTCAGAGAACAATTGCTAATTTTTAAATTTGTAATTATATAAGGTAGTGATTAGACAAAATTTTGCTTACTGAAATTTGATATTCATATACCTCATGTTTTCAAGCAGGAAAAATATATATGTGCAGATATATGTCTGTGGATATGTACACTTGTATGCTTGTGTGTATGTGTGTTACTAGTTAAAGAGAAATTTATTGGCTATTTTACATTCATAGAATAGAAATGTTCTATAGTTAAGGTACTGTTATTTTCTTCACATCATTGGTAAAACCTTTTTTTTTATTGATTAGGGTCACTGTAATGATTTATTGATCTTTCAAACACAGCCCTATTCACTGCTCAGGTAAGTAAATACAGTATTTTTATGTATATATGATGTCATACATAATGTATATGTATGTGTGTCTGTCTGTATGTCTGTGTGTATGTGTCTTTATGTGGCTTTGTGTGTCTGTGTGTGTGCTGGGGCTGTAAATTCAGTTGGTTGGAGGTTCACCTACATTCCCAAGGCCCTGGGCACAATCTGCAGCACCATCTAACTGGGCATGACAGCTGGTGTCTGTCATTCCAGTGCTCGGGAGGGAGAGGCAGGAGGATGAGGACCTCACAGTCATCTTCAGCTATGTAGTGAGTGGTTTGGTAGGGGTTTTGTTGGAGTTTATTGTTGTATTGGGCTTTTGTTTGTTTGATTTTTTGTTTTTTGAGAAAGGACTTATAGTTGGATGGGTAGGGATCAGGAAAGAATCTAGAAGGACTTTGGGGAGAGAAAGAATATGATCAAGTATATTTAAACATAAAAATGTTTCAAATAATCAAATGTAAAAATTTTAAGGAAGGCTAATTGTGATATGAGCTACAGCATAGAATGACCTTTAAGATGTGCGTAGTGGCCAGGTGGGGGTGGGGTGGGGTGGCACACACATTTAATCCGATTGCTTGGGAAGCAGAGGCAGGCAGATCTCTGAGTGTGAGGCCAGCCTGGTCTACAGAGTGAGTTCCAGGACAGACAGGGTTACACAGAGCAATCCTGTCTTGAAAAACCAAAAACAAAACAAAAGCAAAACAAAAAAAGCCATCACCAACAAAAACAAAGATGTTCATGGTAAAATATGTCATTCACAAAGGAACAAACCCTGTTTGGTTCCTGGTGTCTGAAGTAACTGGAGAGGGCACACTCATGTGTCAAATGAGATGAGAGTAAAGGAGACTTGGCGTGGAGGAGGGAGGTTGGTCAATGGTCACGATTCATTTGAGGAGGAGGGAAAGACTTCAGACGTAGAGGGTGTGATGGTTGCAAAGGAGCGGGACAGCGCAGAACCGTTAGCATGGCAAGTTCTGTGCTGGCTTTATTTTATCTTAATTTTTAAATTAAATTTTTATTTTTTCCTTCGCAATGTATTCATTATATTTTAACAATAACAAAATGTCTGCTAAGCAAAGAAAAGGCAAAATGTGTGCTATGAATGTGTGATAATCTCTTTGCTTCTCCTTGGGGAGGAGTTATGCTATTTTACAGGTAGTTTATGACTTAAATTCGAGAAAATATTTACAATTGCCTAAGCATAAAAACTAGATAGAGTGCCCAGGCATTTTATCCCACATTTAGAAGGCAGAGCCAGGCAGATCTTTGTGAATTCAGGCCAGCCTGGTCTACATAGCAAATACTAGACCATGAAGAGCTATACGTGAGACTGTGTCTCAAAATAAAAAAGTATAATCAAATTATATTCAGACCATTCATGAGCATTATTTTTAAAATTAAAGTAAACAGTATATTTTTGTAAAGTTGTTTATTATTCATATGGTAATATCAAAGAGTATATTTCCAGCCTGAGCACAGTAGTTGATGTCTTTAATCTTATCACTCAGGAGGCAGGGGCTATATTTCAACTTTTTGGAAATCGAATATGTCTGGTAAATATCATATATGATAAAATATATACACACATACAGTTAAAATGGAAAAATTTAAGCTTGGTGGAGCTTAAAATTTAATCCCAGCATTTTGGAGCAGAGGTGGATGAATCTGAGTCTGACGCTAACCTTGCTATAATGTTGCAGTAAACAAAAAAATGTGTTGGGCTGTATAATGGTTATTATTAGCCCTAAGATTACTGTAGTGGGATGATTTAACCCGCTGTCACAAATAAGAAGACACAGGCACCTGCTAGATTTATAATTGCCTTATTTACCTTGGCTGGGCAGATATTTCACTTACACTGTCTCAATAACCTCACCATCCATCTCCCAGCCCCCATTCAACACCATCTGCTTTAACCATCCTCATCTGGTCGATCTTCCATCCATGATGCCAATATACTTACTTGTATTCTTCATCTGGGCCTTTTCACGTCATTATTGGAGTCCTTCCTCCTGGCCTATGTGGTTTCTTCTCCATCATGATGTCCTCCTTCTTCCTCTCTTCCCATCTGACTCCTGTGAGTCTCCTGAACCCAAAGCCGGGGAACCTTAGCCATGCCTAACCAATTCTGTCCTGCCCAAGTATGGACCGTTTAATCAATCAATCAGATATAATGACTTAGGCAGGTTTACACAGCAAGGATAGGTTTACACAGCAAGGAAGGGTTTAACCAGATCTTGAAGGCCAATATCAGACCATCTGCCAACACTACAATGTGAGTTTTAGGACAGAACAGCCAGGGATAATTAGAGAAACCCAACAACAACAACAGAATTTCTTTTAACACAGAAGCTGTTATTTAGTTGCTAGAGCTCAAAGACCTTCTGTCTGTCTCCAAAGTGCTAGGATTACAGGTGTGTGCCCCATATCCAGATGACAGAGTCATGAAGAAGTAGATTTTAGCAAAAGAGACAGACATTTGTCAAATGGGATACATAGTAGAGCTCTGGAGTACAGCTCAGTGAGGAAGTGTCTACACATCAGACACTTTGGTTCACCAAAAAAAAAGGAAATAAAATAGTGGAGAAAAAAAGAAAATGTAAAAACAGGTCATTGAGAAAGTTTTATTGGTAGTGGGTTATCTGGTGGGGAAAAAGAGATGAAGATATGAGCCTAAGAAGAGTGACAAAGACTTGACATGTCTCTGGAGCTCACTGGGAGCTTGTTGGCCAGGACTGTGCGCACAGTGATGCTTGGGAGAGAAAGTAGTTAGTTCAGTGGTAGCCTGTCTGCACAGCTGTGGTTTACTTCAGCTTCACAGGGCAACTAATCCCAGGTGCAGAGAACCTGATAATGGTTGGAGATGGCCAGGATGATGTAACAGGAACAGTGGAGAGGGAATCCTAGCTGCTGGCAAGAGAATGGAGTGCAGATGACCTGAACTGGAAAGCAAGGTAAAGCTGGAGGAGGTTAAATATTTGGAGAATTGGGAAGAATAAGGGAGCTGAGCAGGATGGTACAGTCACTTCAGTGGCTGAGCAGGGGAGTGGGGGCTCAAAACCAACCCGTGCCACTTGGTAAGTTCCAGGCCCACCTGGTTACAAGGTAAGACCATTTCTCTAAAGCCGGTTGTGGCAGGCCAGAGTACATCAGGCTAGAGAACTGTGTCAGTAGTTGAGAGCACGTGCTGTTTTTGCAGGGGATCTAACCAAGTTCAGTTCCCTGAACCCACAGTGTGTAGCTCAAAACTCTCTATAACTCCAGTTCCAGAAGCTCTACACCCTCCTCTTCTGCTCTCTGTGGGGAGCTGTACACCTGTGGAGCACGTAAGAACACACAAGCACATGAACATATGTATCAAAATTAATATGTAAAAATTTGACACGCAGCAGGGCATGGCGGACCAGGCCTTTAATCCCAGCACTCAGGAGGCCAGCCTGCTCTACAGAGTGAGTTCCAGGACAACCAGGGCAACACAGAGAAATTCTGTCTCAAAAAAACAAACAAAAACATTTATATAAGTTTGTTTTGAAAATATTTTTTACACGAAGCTAAACTCAACAAAGAAACAAGCTTATGGTGAACTGACAAATTTCTCAGTGATTGGCCTAGAAAGAGCAGAGGTAAAACTAAGGTGGCCTGGAAGCAGGCCGAGGAGACCAACATTGGGCCACATGTGGGTCTAATACTCAGCTAAGGCTAAACATATGAGGGCTGAGGAGCTGGCCCGGGTAGTAAAGCACTGGCCATGCAAACATGGGGCCTGAGACTGGAGCCACAGTACGTGTGGAAAACGCTGGGCACAATGGCAGGTGCCTGTAATCCCAGCACCGAGGAGGCGGAGGCTGTCAGGTCCCTGGTGCTGGCCGCCAGGCAGGCTACCCAAGTTACTGAACTCCAGGTTCAGTTAGAGAGCAGGCCTCAAAATCACCAGCATCATGATAATAGTAATTGGAGAGTGACTGGGAAGACAGTGTTGACCTCTGCTTGCTGTGCAAACTCCCATGCATATGCACACACATTTGAACATGTGCGCACATACAGCACATACTCATATGTAATATCCTTCACACAACACACAGGAGTGTGACAGGAATATAGTGGTCTGTATGATACCTACTCACCATGGTGAGTTGTCCACACTGTGGTCTATGTGATTATTTTATTTTAAATGTTAGCCAAGGCCACTGGCGTGTACCCATAATGAAACAAATTATGTATGCTGTCTTATGGACTAGGTATCCCTCATGTAAGTATATAATCGTTAAGCACAGTGGGTCTATATCTGTGTTAGCAAAGGCTGTTAAGGTTCTGTCTTATGGACACGATTGACAGGGCTAAAGACAGATATTTAGGATGTCTGCAGTTTGGGGCTATTACAAAAACTTAGGTGGGAGGTCGTCATGGATGTCCTCTTTGGAAAGCACGCAGATCCCCCAGGGGAACTTCCCAGGGAACACTGATGGGCCAGAGACTGCGCTGTCATGCCTTTTGGTGGCCCCCACTGCCCTTGCTCAACCTCCACCTGTCTGTTGGCCTCACCTTGCTGTGCCATTCTGACCTCCAGCTGTATTTAACCCACTGACTGAATTGCTCTTTCTCTGATAAAGCTAGTCTTTCCTCTCCAGGGCTTTGGGAAAGTGACTCTCCTCTGTGGTTGTTGAAGTCCTGAGGTCTCAGCACGGGGTCCCTCTTCTGGCCTCTGGGGGTACTTGCTCTCTCATGGCGTACATTCACACAGATGCACAAACATGTAAAATAACATAATGAATTTGAAAAACAACAAAACCAGGGCTGGTGCTATGGCTTGGCTGTTAAAAACCAAGATTTCTAGCCAAAAACACAACAAAACCACCAGGCAAACAAAAACCTGCATAAGTTCAGTGCAGAGGGATAGCTCTGTGTTAGTGTTTGCCTGGAATTCCTCACCCCTGAAGTCAGTCTCCAGCCCTGCAAAGGAAGACAAACAAATACACCTTGACCAGGTACTGTGTAACCTGGGCTCAGAAACTAACCCTTCCCCTATGCTTTATTGACAGGTTGTGTCTTGACTGCATTGGGAAAAATGCTGTCATTTTGAAGAGTCAGATATCCTTATTACCTCCTAAACTTCGGCAGCAAGTTCTGAAAAAAATAACATTTTGGACTGCAGCCAATTACCGAAAAGAGCAAAGAGTCGGAAAAGAAGAAACAGAAAACAAGCAGCAGTGGGTCAGTAGCCACTGAGTCACTCTAGGCCCAGGATGTCAAAGCGTTTTGATCAGACTGCCCATTTGACCCTCCAATCCAGGCACAGACTTTACTTAAAGGATACAGTTTAAAACAAATGTTTTGCTAATGTGATTACATGGTACGGGATATATGGAAATAAGATGTAGTTGACTGTTTATCTGTATAATTATAAACGGATTTGCTTGTAAAAGACAGAATATGTGTTCTTTCTGAAAATAAGTACAGTCACAGAGGATCTTAACCCCAATGTGTACTCTTTTCTAGAAAGATTATATAAATCTGAAAAACGGAAATTGCCCCAAGATCCTCTAATACAACTGTGAATGTGCTATAAAATACTCCTAATTAACTTTTGTTACTTTGAGATCACCTAAGTGTCTCCTTAAACAGCATCGTCAGAACCTCCCGTCCCCACCGCTGAGCAGGGAAACATGTTTTCTTAGTTCTGGCCCTAGGACCACAGAGGGTAGTTTGGCTACTGCTTTGAAATACTGGGCCGTGGGAAATTAGTACTTTTGAGACATGGTAAAATAAACGTTGCCTTGGAAAAGTGTTCCTAAAGTACTATTTGTAAGTAATGTGGGGTGATAATCTGGTATTTTTGACTCTCTAAATCCCCTGTCTAAATCCCCTGTCAACTCTACAGAGTTGACGCTGCAGACACCACATATCCAGACCTTGATAAGCTCTCTTCTCTCAGTACCATCGATCTGCGAACAGGAGACTCCACTGTTAGTCCTCAGAATGGTACTTTGGCCATTTTGAGACATTTTTCTTTATACCAATCATCTTTTTCTTCCATTGACATACTTGTTACAATTAATTACTAAAGGGTTCAATATATGACATTATTTCCCTCCTGTCACCATGTAAGTTATCTCTGAACTTTAAAATGCTGTGAAAGTATATTTCTATATTGTATATAATTTATAGTGAACATTGTAGTATTTCATTAAACTATAGATATGTTTTATACATGCTGATTTTAGATGTGTAAAGCTTCTATTTATGTATTAGAATAGCTTATGTTTACACTTTATTTATTGAACACAGAATATAGAATTATTGCCTCACACCTTCGTCAGTGTGGACCAGTCAGAGTTCATTTCATTGTGGGGCTGACAGCGTGGCTCAGTGTGTAAAAGTGCTTGCTGAGGAATACTGGTGGCCCAGGTTCCATCCCTGGTACCAGCATAAGGTATGGGGAGAGAACTAACACTGTAACGGTTGCTCTCTGACCTTCACATGTGCTCAAACATACAATGCACACATACACACAATAATATCAAATAAATAAAAAATCAATTCAGCGTGAGTTTTTATTTTTTCTTACTATTTTTAATCTATATAACACTTGGAAAATGAATTTTATAAATATACTTCTTGGGGAAATTATTATTATGAACTTAAATATCATCATTTTATAATTAAAAGATAATTAACAGTTCTAAGACCCTTTAGAAGCCACAGTTCAAAGCCTCAGACGAGTCTCCCAGCTTTGGCGTGTCTGAGCATCATCCCTGTGAACCTAGCCTACAGCAGAGGAGATAGAATTCTAGACCTGGAACTGAGCATGCTCTGCTTCTGGAGTGCCCTGTTCCATACCTTGAAATCTTAAGTGACCTGTAGTGAATTAACATTTTTGTGTTATCTTTATGAGTGTGGTGGTTTGAATGAAAATGACCCCATAGGCCCCTACGGAGTGGCACTAATAGGAGGTGTGGCCTTGTTGGAAGAAGTGTGTCACTGGAGGTGGGCTCTGAGGTTTCAGATGCTCAAGCCAGGCCCAGTGAAACTCTTCCTGCTGTCTGCTGATCCAGATGTAGAACTCTCAACTACCTCTCCAGCACCATGTCTGCCTGCATGCTGTCATGCTTCCTGCCATGATGATAATGGACTAAACCTCTGTAAGCCAGCCTCAATTAAATGTTTTCCTTGGTAAGAGTTGCTGTGGTCGTGGTGTCTCTTCACAGCAGTAAAACCCTAAGACAATTGAGGGAAATCTCACTTTAAAAGAATTAACTTGTTTATTGGGAGGGAGTTAGGGGTGGCACATGAGAAGGTAAGAGAAGAATTGGAGGAATTGGTTCTCTCTTACCACGAGTTCGGGGTATCCAGCTCCGGTCATCAGCTTGCTGCAGGTGCCTTTCCACAGTGAACCTCTGTTCCAGGAACCCTGCCTTAGACTGTCTTGAATTTTCTCTAGATTTGATTAGATGGGCTCGAGTATATAAGATTATGTTTTATTGGTTGAAAAGCCAGAGGTCTTCTGTTCGGTTAAGAAAGTCAAAGGATATTAACTTATAAACATGTAAACATCAACACAGAGTAGGATAAGCGCACGAAAGTAGGATAAGCAATGCCTTGCAGGAGTGAAGAGCCACTGAAACCCAGGGCGCTGGCACATGCACACACGCAAACAATAATAAATCCAATTTTCAACATTAAAAAAATACCAAAGTCAGTTTAAAACTAGCACTAATTTAAAATTTTAATCCACTGAAATGTAGCAATGAACCCAGTAACATAAGACTTTGGCAAATCCCAGAGACACCACCCCCTTCCAATTTTCATTCTCTTCCCCCCAACCCTCTCTAGCCTCCCTCCCTACTCCTAAAGTTCACCCCTGTTCCACTCCCCATCCCCTCTCTTCCTCTAAAAGGCTGCACCCAGCAGCTGGTAGAAACAGATGCAGAGACCCACACCAAACATTAGATAGAACTCAGGGAGTCACATGGAAGAGTTGGGAAACTATTGAGGGAGCTGGAGGGGTCAAAGACTCCACAAGAAGACCTACAGGTCAACTGACTTGGGCCTATGGGGACTCACAGAGGCTGAACCACCAACCAAAGAGCATGCTTGGTCCTTGGCTCCCTGCACATAAGTACCTTGGTCTTCATGTGGGTCCCTCAATAACTGCAGTGGGGGCCTCTCTGACTCTGATGCCTCCCTTTGGATCCTTTTCCCCTAACTAGACTGCTTGGTTTGGCTTCAGTGGGAGAGGATGCGCCTAGTTCAGCAGCAATTGAATGTCCCAGGGTGGGTTGGTACCCGGGTGGGGAGGGGAGAGGAAGGAGGGCCCTCCTCCTCCTCTGAGTTGAAGGAGAAGAGAATTTGGGGAGGGATGTTCGAGGTGGGGGACTGGGAGGAGAAAAGGTGGGGTTACAATCAGGGTGTAGAGTGAATAAATAATTTTTAAAAGAAGTCCCAATGTGAAAAAAGAAAAGACTTCCTTCTCTTTCCCTCTCTTTCCTTCCTTCCTTCCTTTCTCTCTCTCATTCCTTCCTTCTTTTCTTCCTTCTTTCTTCCTTCCTTTCTCTCTCTCTTTCTCTCTCTCCCTTCCTTCCTTCCTTCCTTCCTTCCTTCCTTCCTTCCTTCCTTCCT